AGTTTAATAGTTTCGAATTCTTACCCCGAATTCGACTTGGTCGAATTCGGGTCCGGGGTTCGAAATAAGCAAATTTTAAGCTCATATTCGGACTCAGCACACTCAATTACCTACTGACAGACCTCAAAAATATCGAAAAAGCACTTCTACCACATTTTTTCTAGGGACCAATGAAGCAGAAGATTACCACAACCGGGACTAAAAAATAGGATTTCATTTAAATAATTTTTAAAATTAAAAAATTCTTTTAATATCTAAAAATGGCAGTAATCCTTAATGGACAAATTTTTCAGCAGAGAAAGTTACAAAAACCCCAATTTCCTTTAAACATTCGTTCCGTACAGAAATTTTGTTAAGAAATCATAAAATAAAAAAACCGTTAGTGTCACGCATTTCCTCTTCCCGTTGACGCATATAAACAAAATCTTGAACAATCGAATCAGAAAGGTCTTCTAATCGGCGAAGTTCAACTTCCAACGGCTTAAGTTTTTCTGCTTTAGCCAAATCCTCATAATTCTTTGCCTCCACCCCATGTTTAATTTGAAGAGAAATTTCACGAGAAAATTTGTGTTGCTCTAAAAAATTAAATTAAAATTAAAAAAACAAAATATATTTAAAATACGTATTGGCCCATGATCTTTAAAACAAATTTCAAAAACATCATAATCATCGCCAGTGAATGCAATCTTGCCTCGAGTCTCAGGGAAATTTTCTCGGTTATAAAGTGTATGGCCACGAGTATCTGTTACCTAAAAGAATTTTTTATTTAATAAAATTTAAATTTAATACGAAGAAGAAAAACAAATAAATTTTCTTTACAGAAACGCAAGGAAAAAATAAAAGAAAAATAAAGGAAAAAAGATTTATGTATTTAAAATCTTAAAAATTAAAAAATTTTTATTACTTAAAATTATAAAAAAATAAGCAAGGTCCTGGGCATGTATTCAAATAAATATTTAAAATACCCACACGAAGATTGGGTAATATTGAAACGGACAGACCCTCTTTTTTCCTCCCCAATTTTTCCACTATATTTTTGCACTTGTATAAAATAAAATAATCCTTTGATTGTAGGCAAAAATTAGAAAGGCAATTTGGATGGAAGAAAGTAAGTCTGACCATTTTGCAAAAATATAGGGGAAAAATTGGGGAGGAAAAAAGGGCTGTCCGGTTCAATACATATTATCGAAGATTGTGCCCGTAACAATAATTAAAATTCCCGTTCCCCCCAAAATTAAAAATAATTAAAAACAAACAGAAACAGTCGTTGTATGCCCAACAGCATCAGAAATTTCATATTCCCCAGTCATTATAACATTTCTGTGCATTTCATCTTTTATGCATTGTCTTCCATTTGTAGGAATAGTAAACCTCAAAGCTTCAATCAAAAATAAATTAATTAAAAGTGTTGAAATAATAAAATACACAAAATATTTAGAAAAATCTAAACGCTTCATTTTTCTAAAAATTAAAAATTATTTTTAAATAAAAATTAATTAAAATTAATAAAAAAAAGTTTTTAATGCGTGTCAAATGGAAAATAAAATTAAATAACACGTTGCCAAATATTTTTTATTAATTTAAATATTTGCAAGTTTTCGTTTCGAAAAATTTTGAGAAAAATAAATAATTTTTATTTGAATTAAAAGACCGTACATACGAATCGGGCATCGAAGATTCTTCTTGGTCTTTTAAAGATTTCAAATAGAAGTTCAGGCCCTATACGCAGATCGTGCCGGCTTGATATTTTTTCCTTACTTTTTTTTACTGGGTATTTTTCCCAAGTTTTTATGTTTGTGATGGTTGCCATAAGGAAAATCAGAGAAAAAGACTGTCCGTCTTCGTCCGTGTTTTGTCTGTCTGTGTCCGTCCGTGTTTTGTCTGTCTGTGTCCGTCCGTGCGAGCATCCAGAATTATCAGAAATATAGAGAATGATAGCAAGAAGAAATAAGTCACCATTTTTCCTTACGGCAAAATCACAAACATCAAAAATATAGAGGAACATGACCATTCCGAACTACTCAAAAAAAGTAAGGAAAAAATATCAAGCCGGCACGATCTGCGTATAGGGTCGAAGTTCATTTAAAACTTTAATTTTGTTAAAAATAATTTAGTAATTAAATGATAATTCCATTGAATAAACTAAAATCGTCGAAAGCTGACTTGATCTTTGTAATATTCTTGGCAATACTGTGGCTAACACCTCCCTCTTTTTTCCGTTTCCCTGGCCATTTTGAGCTTTTTTCTTGACCTAAAATTATCATTTTGTGTCACTGAAAGGGATTAAAACAAGTGCTCTTAACTTTGTCCAATAAAGACAGCTTTAGTCGATTTTAGTGTCATTCTCTTTCGAATAATTTTTCGTCAAGAGAAAAGTTTTAAAAATAAAAGTAGAAAAAAAGGGGAAGGATATCAGTAAAAGTATTATTACTACAATCTTTAACGATCTTTAAAATAATGCTTTCAAAAATTTCTTTTTTTTTGACTAATTATAATTAATTCTTCAATTTTCTTTTTAAAATAACCAAACCGGAAGCATTAAAAAATTTTATTTTTGAATTGCGCAGATTGGCGTGCTCATCCTTACATACAAATTCACATTCCTTCTCCCCATTCAATTGATTTCCACATAAAAATTGTTTGTGGCGTCGCTTGCCTCACAGTTTTTTAACAAACATAGGCTGTCTTTATTTATTTTTCATGAATATTTAAAGGGCGGTGATTCATCTGGCAGCATGACTTTTGTAATTTTAAAAACTTTTTTTTTTTTTAATTTTAATGCTTGTTTAATCAGAATATTATGTAAATGAGTAGAAGGAATTGCTTAGCTTTTGTACTTTCGGTATAATATATAGACTTTCTATTAGAATAAATTCTGATTTTTATTCTAAATTCTTTTTTTTTCCGAAACTAACAATAAAAATAAATTTTTGTTTTGTTGCCCTCGGCAACCGAACGAAAAACTAGAAAAATATACATTTAAATCCTCCAAATGCTTTATCCCATAAAATTACTAAAAAAACTTTTCTTTCCATTTTTCTTCAATATAAATTTTTTAAAAATTTTAAAAATTCAAAATTTATTCTCAATTTATTTTTTAATTAAAATTGTTTTCAATTACAAAAAGACAAAAATGTGTACTTTAATTTCTTTGTTAATAAATTTAAACACTAACAATAAGTATTCTTAAATATGTATTTCAATCAACCCCCATCATTATTAAAAGCTAAATATAATTTTCTTCCAAAAATTTTTAAAATTACTTTTCATTTTTTGATTTTTGGTTAAAACCTGAACAAACAAAAAAAATAAAAATTGCTATTATTTATTTATTGAAAATTGTCCTTTTTTATTGATGTAAATTGGAGGAGAAGAGAATCCACACACAAAATAAACTTGCGCGTGCATTCCTCGAATTTATATAAATAAATATTTATTTATTACTTTTTTTCAAATTTTTGTAAAAATATTTTTGAAGTTTTTACTGTTATTTTTTTTTATTTTTAATGATTTTATCTTTCTTAAACTTATTTTTATTTTCCAAAAAAATTTTTGTAGTTGATTAAAATCTGTTCTTTTTTTAGAATTTATTTTCTTAATTAAATCAATTTTTTAAATTATCATGTAACTCTTTACAATCAAAAACCATCTTTATTAAAGACTTAACGATATTTTTTCTCTTTATTCCAGGAAATGGTTTCAGAAACCCGTGGAGCCGCTGACAGGTTGAAACCGCCATGAACCAACCAACCAACCGCCAACAAACTGCCATAGAGAACACCTTCCAGGTTCCAAAAATCGAAGGGTTCTTCTATTCAAGTTCATGACGGTTTCAACCTGTCAGCGGCTCCACGGTTTCTGCAACCATTTCCTGAAATACTTCAATGAAATTTTTTATCCTTTTTTAAATCTATTAAATAAAAATATTTATTTTTAATATAAAGTCCCTTCTATTATTCCCTGGTCAAGGACATCAATCCCAATCTATTACTATTTTCTCATACATTATAAGTAGCAGTCCATTTTTATTTTATTTTTAATGCCTTTTTGATCTTTTTCATCACTTTTTTTTAAATCTAACAAAAAAATAAATGTTCGACTTCAGTTATCCTTTTCTATTTAAATTTAGGTTGGGCTTTTGGAGGTTTTTCAAATCCGGATAGTGTTGGGTATAATAGGGTCGGATAGTTAGGAATCCTGGGATATCCGGATCCGATATCCGAACCGGTCTTTTTTCGGATTCAGCAACCCTATTGGGTAATTCGGAAGTTATTTTTCTGTTGATAGAAATTAATTGTATCTACATATTCATTTTAGATAAAATTCAATTAAAGTAATTGTCCATAAATTCCTTTAAATTTTCAAAAAATTAAGAGGACTTGAAGTCTAAATTAAAGTAATTAATTTTTGAAATAAACATCAATATACTATTAATTAATAATTTATTTTCATATTTAAAAGTTATTTAAAATCATTTAAAAGATTTATATCTTCCTTTCATTTATATCTTCTCTCTCCTTCTTTTTTTAATACTTTATATATTTTTGAAGGTTGCGCACTCATTGCACCTTCAAATCCCCCACCCCCCATTTTCCCCAATCGATCTCCAACAGCGACCGGTTATACTAAATTTGGTATTTTTGGCTGTTTTAAGGTTGTGGAGCTACATATTCTTTTTTTAAATTTTCTTTTGAAGATTGGAAAGGGGGGGTTATCAATTAGGAGAAGTTGGGATTTATGGGAGTGAAATTTGAAAATTTAAATTATGGAATAAAGTTGAAGAGATAACGCTTTCGATACTTCTCTGCTTCTTTAAATTTCCCATTCTTCCCTTTCCATGAAAATTTGGATGATTCGGGAAAGTCCCCACAAGTTGTGAGGGGATTCGTCAATATTATATTATTTTAATAAATTTCCCTAGCTCCTAAAATTATTTTTCATTAAAAATTTTTTTTTTAATTTAAAGGGAAAAATAATTTACTAACAACAACAAAAAAAGAATGCCAAGTACAGCAATCCAAAAATTATTATTAACAATTTCTATATTTTTAATCGTTGCTGGACTTGCATTAACTATTGCTGGATTAGTATCTCCAGCTTGGCAAGTTGTTGATATTCGGGAATTTAGAGCAGAACATCAACACGGGCTTTGGTGGGATTGTATTAGAGCTGAGAAGGTTGGAAAAGAAATTAAAAAATATTTTTCTTCTAATTTATTTTATTTTTATTCTTCTCAATTTCAAATAAAAAATTAAAAAAAAAGCGAAAGTCAATTAATTGTGGTTGGACTTATTTTTTCGGTGATAACCCAACCACAACGGACCCTTCGCTAACTTTTTATCATTAAAATTAATTTTATATATAGACTGAAAATAAATAAAGAGAAATATGTCGCTGTCTATTTTTTAAATTTTTTTTTAAATTTCATTTACTCTTTTTCCTTCTCTCGTTTCTCTTCCCTCTTTCCCATCACTACAAAAATTAAAAATATTTTAAAAATTATTTTTATTTCTTAATCCAAATAGAATGAAAAAAAAAATTAATTTTTAAAGTTTTTCAGCATGTTGTGGCTGTTGGCGATTTTTATGACGAAGTACTTTGTTTTTATTAAAATTTATTGTTTTCCTCCTTTTAAAGGCTCCTCTTCACTGCATGTACAAATTTGACGAATCAGCAGCCCTCGTTATTGAAAATACTCTTGTATGTAGAGATTTAGTAGATTGACCTTTATTTTAATCACATCCCTTTTCAAGCCTGTCTCTAATTTAAACCCCTCCATTTAATGGACACTTTCTATAAGAGACTCCTTTAAGAGCAAGCAATTTTTTGATGTTTCTCATACTTCCTATATCAAATTAAATCAAAAATTTTTTCTAAAATTAGATGCTCTAGAAATTTTGGGATTTTGAGAGTTTAAGAGAGTTTTGGTGAAATTTGTAATTTTTATGATTTTTTCTTCAAAAATGGGGTGTTAAGAAATTATTAGAGCAAAATTACTGATAAAATTAATTTCTGTATCCAAAATAAATTTTTTTTCAAAGAATCGAATTGACGAAGACGGGGCAGCTGGAGAAGCAGAACACCATCGTTTTTGGGGATGGCAAAAAGTAAAAACTTTAATTTAAATATTTAAATAATTAATTTATAGGTTGTTTTAACTTTAATTTTGCTTTCCCAATTATCTGCTTTTGTTGCTATATGTACAGGTGTTTGTGCACCTTGTTTCCCTCCATCAACTTTTTGTTTCACAATTTCACTTTTTATTGCCAGTTTGTTTTTAAGAGAAGAAGAAAAATAATAATTTTTTTAAATTTAAAGTGTTACTTTCAATGTTGTCTGATGGAGTTTTCTTTTTTTCTGCAAATCGAGTAGATATTCGATTTGTTACTGGTAAATTATTAATTATCTTTGAAAGAAAGGAAAAAGTTATTGTTTTAAACGGTGATAAAAAAGAAAGTTTTTGTCAGAAAATTTTATGTAGAGTTTAAAATAAACTTTAGGATCTTCGGGGTTTGAAAATTTTTCCAATTTTCTTTTATGAAATTAAATAATAATTTTATTTCGATTTTAACGAGGAATTACATTTACAAATAATTATTTAAAACAAAAAAAAATTTAAAAATAAATTAAAATAACTGTAAATCAGTCCGGTCTGCTGAAGATGCTGGTATGCTTCCAGCCGCCGAATAACCTTTTGCACTAGCTAAGAGAGAGACTTTACTTAACTATCTAAAACCCATAAATGATAAGATAACTTTTCTAAATCATCATATTATACATAAATTCATAATGCCGTTAAACACTTAAATAAACTACCGATAAATTAATAATTTTTTTATTTTATAGGAATGGTTGGAACCTATGTAAGCATTTATTTTTAAAAATAAATTTAAAGATTAATTTATCAAATAAATTTAAAGGAACAAATAATTGGTTATGCCTTTTATTTACACGTTGGAGGCACTTTTTGTTGGTTAATTGCTTTTGTTTGTGCAATTACAACAACTTATAAATTTATTTCTTCTAATGGAACACAGAGGTAGAGCTTCTTTTTAAATTTAATTTTCTTTCCTTTTTTCTGCTTTTATTTTCTTTTAGTTTATAGCACCTTTAAATTATGCACAATTATTTTTAAAAATAAACACAAAAATAAGTAAAAATTTCTTTTATTAAATATTTGTAAAATTCTTTTTTCTATTTTTTATTTAAATAAATTGGTGAAAAAAGGAAAGAAAGCCTCCATTAGAAGCCCGTGGCTCTGGTCTAGTTTAGTAGTCCAATAGTAAGAGCTAAGTAAAAGTTTAATCCCGAGCAGGCTTCGATCCTGCGTCCTTCTGGCAGTTATTGCTAGGCGCTTTCACTCACCACGTACAGGTGCTCAAGTTAAGGCTTTCAGGCCGAGACTGAGCTACCGGGACGCTGCTTTCACCTTCTCTTTTAATAGATCTTAAACCCCTGCCTAGTGAGCGTTTTATATGCTAGCCAGCTGAATCTTTCTCTTCCTTACACAATGAATGTTTAAATAGCCAAAAAAAACTAGACTAGAGCCCAATGTTCTGTAATAATTTAATCAAAAATCAATCTATAAACCCCCCCCCCTCTCCACCTATTTTCACTAAAAAATATTCTCTCTCTCAGACAACTCTTCGTATCGAATGATCGAGAAAATGTTTATCGACATCCAGTTGTTGAATGGCAACAACCCCAAAGAATTAATGGAAATGGACGTTTAATTGGAAGTAATACACAAGTTTAGTTTTTTTGGAAGGGTTTTGTTTTGATTTTTGAAAATTAATTGAAAATTTGATTTGAAATGAAAAAAGGAAGGAATTTATGTTGATACAGGGCTTTCAGGCCGAATTGAGTCGAATACCTTTTTAAATTAATTTTTTTTATCAGAATTTGCAATCCAAAAAATAATAAAAATTTAAATTATTGTGGACAAATTCTGTGGATTTTTGAATAAGAGAAAATTATTTCCAAAAATTTTTATTTTAAATAGGTGTGGTTAAAAATTTTTAAAAAATAATTTTTGTATCTACATAAATTCCCAAAAATATAGTACATTGTTTCGTGCTGAACTCCCTCTCCCCCTAAAAAAATTATTTTTCAACATTTCCTGTTTCTATTTTTTGAAATTCCTATTAAAAAATTATTTTCCTTTTTTTAAAAATTTCAAAGAGAATCTCTCTCATTTAAATTTATTAAAAATTATTTTAAATTAAAAGGACGTGGTACAGATATTTAGAAACATCCAAAACTAAAATAATTTTCCAAGATCAAAGAAACCCATTTTAAGATTCGGGAGTGTCTCGGACATTTGGTTTGTGTGTTAATTTCGTTTTTTTATTTTAAATTAAAAGTCCTTTAAATTTAAATAATTTATAAATTTATTTTTTTATTTTTAAGCCTGCCATCTTTTTAATCTTTTATCATCTTTTTGTCTTTATTTTTGCTCACCCCAAAAATTATTAAATTTAAATATGCCTCATATTAATTAGATTAACTGCCACTAAATATTTTTCAATAAAAATTGTTTTTTAAAAAGAATGTTCAAATTTTAATTAAATTTACTTAATATATAATTGTCAGAAATTCAAAAAAATTTTATAAACTAAAAAGTTAGCTAAAAAATCAAATTTGACTTTTCGTTTATCTCTACATACCCAAAAATTCTTCAAAACTTTTCTGAACATTCTTTTATTTTTTAAAAATAATCTTTTTAATTATTTCATTATTTTAATTTCATAAAATTTTACTTATTTTTGTGTTTATAAAATAAACTCAGGGCATAATAAATATTTAAAATAAACAGAAAATTTAAATTAAAAAAGCACAAATCTACATAAATTAACTTATATTTTTTTTAAAAATTCAAAAAAAAATTTTTAAAGATCATCAATGTATGAAGGACAACTTCCACAACAACAAACTCCTTTATTAATTGGAGGAAAAAATAATGGAAATTGGGAAATGGGTGGACATAATAATAATCGAATGCCTCCACCTAGAGTTTTTAGAGAAACTAGTGCTTAAATATATTTGGCTTTAAAAAATGAAAAAAATAAATTTTGTGTTTTTTATTTGAAAAAATCTTTGAAAAAGACCAGCAAAATATGGTAATTTGATTTGTTAAATTTTGCCATTAAATTCGGTGTTTTCTGTAAAAGGGAGGAGGGGATAGGACAAAGTTGGAATTTAATTGAAAAGAATATTTAATTTTGGTTTTAAAGAAAATACAAAATTTGGTAAAATTGGTTTTGAGGGCCCAGAACATCGATCCTGTTGAATTATGGGATTATGAATTATGGGTTAAAAATTAAAAATTATTTGAATTATGAATTATGGGTCATTCGAAAAAAAACTTTTAGCTTAGTCGAATAACATCAAAATCAGCTTAGACTAAGCGAGCTGACAATGAGTTTAATAATATATGTTAGGTATATATAACTCGACCGGGTCTGAGTCCACAAAACTAATTTTTCCCAAAATTTTGTGAGTCCTATCCCCTCAATTAACCACTAATTATTAGAGACCTGTCGGATTTTTTTTCGATTAAAAATCGGAAAAAATCCATCCATTCTCTATTATTTATCCATGAAATGTTTACTTTCTAAATTTAAAAGTATTTATTTTTTTAATTCGAATAAAAATAAAATATTTATTTAATTTATTAAACATCAGAACATTTAATATTATCAATATTTAAAGTTTGGTTTCCACCAAAAAATTCACCAATTCTATTATTTGGAGAGGAATAAATTAATGAATTTTTTAAAATTAAATTTTGTGGAGTGCCTGGTGGCGGCGGAGGTAAAACTTCTAATGAAGCTGTCAATGCTGCTCTTTCTATGCTAAATAAATCAGAAAGAAGTAAACATTTACTGTCTTCTTGTATTAATCTGCTGAAAATTTTTAGTAATTTTTTTAAAGAAAAATAAAAATTAATTTTTTGCAAATAGAGGGAGTTTTAATAAAATATGTAAAAGATAGCCTCTCATAAAATACTCTAAATTAAATTTAAATATAAAAAAATTATTTACTTTTTTTGATCAAAATATTCTTCATTAATTTTATCCCTTCTTTGATTTTTGTCTAATAATAATTGCTTTTTTCGACATTCTCTTAACAAAAGTAAATAAGCAGATAAAACACTAAATAAAGATGAAAGTAATAATGTTAATGAACCAAGGCAGTGAATGAAGAATGCATAGGAAAGGTGTTGCTAAAAACAGAGAAATAATTTAAAGTTTAAATTTTGGAAAAAAGTTACTCAATGTTACGAAAGAATATAACTTGAAGCTTACATAATTCCAAACTAGTGCAAAACGAATGTTATAAAGAGAAGGCAGAGGCCATTACTAACCTCCTTTAGAGGCCTTTACTAACTCGGACAGAAGAAGCCAAATTATACATATTATATATAGGAAGGTTCGATAAATTTTAAAAATTATTTCTAGTATATCCCAAACCTAGAAAACTTTGGAAATTTAAGAAAGACTTAATTGAAACTAAAGAACAGACCAAATAATATATTTAATTATCATCATCACTAAATCCTTTCAATTTTTGTTTACAACAAAATTTAATATTTAAAACTATAAATTACTTGATAAACAATAGTAGTAGATCCCCGAATACCAATATCATTTTCAGCAGCCATCCAAAAAGAAATGTCTGCAAGAATTGAACAACTAGCTAATTTGAATTAAAAAATATTTTTTTCTAAGATCTTTTCAAAATTACTTGCTAATCCAACAGATATTGTATGTAAAATAGCATTGGGGAGAAAACAAGAAGAACAAGCACCAACAAAAATTGAAAGAAAAGAAAATACTGATGTAAAAACGCAAAAAAATAAGACGGCTTTATGTTGGGCTTAAAAAATTACTAATTTAAAAACAAAACTAGGTGGGGGTCCCCCTCAATTTCAAATACAAAAATGCGAAAATCAACGAAACTTGGAACTAGGATAAAAAATCGAAAGGAGAGAAATTCCAAATTTAATTTTCAAAAAGATTTATTAAATCCCTTAATTTAGAGAATATTTTTTTAAACATTTTTTCCTTCCCAAAAATTATTCAAAAATAAAAACAAACGTAAAAATCTGTGATTATTTAAATGTTCTCTAGCCCCAAAATCTCCCTCTTCAAAAGCCATTCTAACAAACAAAGAAGTTTGCCAACTTGGTAAACCTTCAAATTTATAGGTACAATGCCTGGCAGGTTTTAATGGAGGCAATGATTTCCGGCCATCTCGATGAATACGAGGTAAGTCGTTTAATGGAGTTACCTTTTTTGAGGGAAAATTTAAAAAATTATTTAATGATAAAATACTATGTATTTTGAAAAGAGATATTTGAATTTTTTAATTTTTAAATGCTTGGGTCATTAAGGGAAGAATTTATAAAAATAAATTTATTTAAAAAATATTTTTGACTGATATTTTTCAAAATCTTAGTTTTTTTAATTAATTAAATCAACATATAACAAAAAATAATAATTTGTCCAATCTGGTTTAATAGATAAATTTAGTTTATTAAGAAAAACTTTTTCCAACTATTTATTTATTTAATTTACGAGCGTTGAGGTGCCGCTTCGCGGCACCTCAACGCTCGTACATTAATTTGTTAAATTTTTTCAAAATCCAAAATTTAAATTTTTTGGTTTCATTTTTAAGCAGTATTATTTTATGTTATATCTTTTTTGTAACAAAATGAGTTTTTAAAAAAAACGAAGAAGAAAATTTTTGACTTGAGATTTGGCTTTAAATTGTTGCGCGTATCTAAACATAGGATTCGAGGAAAAGGGAGGTGGGAAACTTATATATCTGAATGCATATGCCTTAAATGATTTCACACTTGTTCAAACTAAATTTAATATTTGTGGTATATCAGGGATTTTGATTGTGTAAGAGGAATTTGGAGGGATTAAGTAGTATCGGAGTAGCGTTTGTCAAAAACTTCCAAGGATAGCCCGACCTGTTTTAATTTCTTTTTTTTAATTGCAAGACGTTTTGGCACTAATTTTAGCCTATTTTTTCGTTTTTAAGAATTTGAAAAATTGTGATTTTAGGACTAAGGGCCAGAAAATGTGAGCTTACAAAGCAGAAGGAAAACTTATAGCTATTAAAATATTTTTGCAAATTAAAATGTTTTGTCTTGTTTCTCTGTTTTTGAAATCTACGGTTATTGAAATTTATCCCCTCAAATCCGCCAATATCTCACCTAAGCCGTCTAGATCCTACATACGATCCATAGATCCTACATACAATCCATTTATTGCTTTGGTTGAATTTTACGCCTATATGGCAGATAAATTATAATTATAGAGCACATGAACTCCTTTGGCCGCTTGAGATCACACAATGCCGCTAGTGATCGGACCAAACAAATATTTGACGCCGAAAAATCAAATATTTGCTCAATTTTTTTGATTTTTTAAATGAACTATTTGTTAGATGAGGTCGAAAATAAGCCAAATAGTAGATCAAATAGTAATTTTATCAAATATTTTCTAAATTATTTCATTCTCCCAAAAAATCATATTTTTGGTTAGAAAATGGTAAAAAGCTATTTAGCACTATATTTTTTTCAAATTTTTCCGCCGGTGCTAAAGGGTTTATTTGATCAGTTTTTTGTATAGCGTCTTTAAATTCCTGAAATAATTTAGAAAATCTTTTCTCAGTACTAACTCACGTTTTTTTCAAGATATTTATCAAATATAACTTTAAGTTTGGTTTTTGGTTTGATTAGTTTGTGGATTTTATACTGTTTGGTGTTGGTGTTTAAATTTGGGGGCTCGAGAGAGCTAAATGGGAATTAAGAGGGATATATGGGGATTTGGA